CCTCTTGTGCACACAGAAAATCAAATCTGCACGCTTATGTTATGGCTTCAGCTATCAAACACCTCTTTACACATTTATGACATTCGGTATTTACATGTGCTAAAAGTGTGGCTGCTGTGTTTGCTTTTATACACACACACTCAGGAGTAAAGATCAACAAACACAAATCAGATAGTAATCCTAATACTGTGTCTACTCTGTGCACTATAATGCAAAGGCCCTGCAGTCTTTATGAGGACCCCTTGATCAGTGCAGTATTTATTTATATACAGTATTTGTTAGGTTCCCATGGCTTCTGAATCATCCGTGTTTCAAAATTGCAGCCTCAAAATAATGTGCCATTTTGTTTTCTCGGGTACAGTTTGCCAGCGTAGCAGAGAAAATGATTCATAACCCTGAGAGCAAAACATTCCTAAAATGTGATTATGTTGTTAAACATCAGTGATAATAACAGGAGTTATACTCTTTGTGGTAGCATCATAAGTACGTAAGAAAACTTTTTTTTTACTGCAATAAGATGAAGTTATACAATGCAGAGATGGAATCATTAGGCCACAGGGCTAATACATATCAGACTACTGACACTTGTATATTTGAAAAAAGAAAAATCTGAATCTCAATTCCTATTGAGCATATATTCTTATTTTACATTCACTATGAATATTTGATTACAAGGTGATTTAATATTGATGCATTTCTGTGAAGTTACTCCCACTTCTTCTTCCTGTCAAATTGAATGTTAACATATCAGGAGCTATGTGGCTCTAGCTGCTGCAGCGATACTACATCCTCAGCAAGCCAATGAATTTGTTAACTTGTTAGAGAGGCTTCAGGCACATCAGAATGCACGTGTGAGTTTGTTGCACTGATTAAACTAAGGGCCAGGAAGAAGGCCTCGATAGGCCAATTAGACTCAGCAAACTGTCACAAACTAGTATAGAGATGGACCATGACCCTGTGCCATTGTTTGGTGCATACATTGCTCTGCTAACTTTGCAGACTCCCAGGCGTATGAATAATCACCCTCCATAAAACCTATAGAGATTTATGAATCTCTCTACAGCAGTATTTCCGTGTCATGATTTACATCCACAGGTCTATTACAGAATTACTGCTGCAGAAAATGGCTTCACATAAACACAAACTGTGGCAGAACCTGTTTTGCAGGATGTATAAATACATTTAAATGAACCCTGAGGTGAAGATTATATGAATGTATGTAAAAGGTGACTTAACAGACATGTATTTAAACCAAAATCTTCGAGATTATTACTTTAAAATTAGATTGTTACTTCTAAAAGACCAGATCATAACGTAATGTCTTTTATTAGGTTCAGATGTGTTATTTCATTTGATCTCATTTCACTTTAAGGAACCTGTTCAAGACTGATTGTGGTTTTCTGTAGAACGCAGCAAATTAGATCTTTGCATTGTTGCAAATTACCAGTTTTGCCTATACAAGCCTCTGGTATGACAGATAACCTAACTGTTGTAACAGTGAACAATAATGAAACTGCAGAATTTTCTGTAGGTGTGCAGCATGATCTTCAGATGGTATTTTTTTTTTTTTTTAAATATTAAATGCAAATGAGAAGTAAATCCCATTTGAGGAGACATTGCATTGTGGGTTCTCTCAAACCAAATATCCATTCCCTCAAGGTGTCCATTCTTAATGCTCTAATTGAATCTACTAACTCAACTGATCAGGACGAAGAATGGAAAAAAAAGGCTTGGGACATAATCCTGTGACAGACCGAAATGCTCAGTAGAAACGCTTCCATTATTTGTTGGGTGAACTTTAATCCAATTCATCAGGAGAGTATTCCAAAAAGAGATCTGGCGAGGTTTGTCCTTGTGTTTGTGTAGATGAGGGCACAGGATGCATTTTCATCTCTGCTGCTAATAATTTTTCTTGGAATACACTCATTTTAAGACTTTGTTAAATAGACCATGCAACATAAGTTTTATGAGAAAATTGCCAAAAACAGCACGTGGTACTGAGCCCCATCTGCCCTGAAGAGGGTTTGAGGTAGTTCCTGTGAGTGTGCATGCAGAGTGAAGCGGGTGGCTCTTGACAGTGAACACTAGAGAGACCCTAGTCTTGTCTGTGCAGATCCAAAAAGCAATCCACACACGTCACACATGTCACACATTTAGCAGTTGAAAAAGACACAACTGACAATTAGCACAGGCTCATCATTAAGCTTTTTTGCAGGTCTTGCTTCCATTTTTTCTTTTTCCGTCAGCATAGTGCAGTAAAGATTTGTTTTGATCCTTTAGGACACCAGGCTTGTTGTGATGGGAACAAGGTTCCCTCCTGACCTATTTTCTGAGCAGCTTTTCAAGATGCTTCACTCTGGCATTCAGCTCCTGCTCCTTTCTGAACTCCAGCCGCCAAAGAACTCTGTGAACTTGATTGGCATTTTCACGGTTTGATTGACTGCAGGACACTTTTTGTAAATGTCATTTCGGATGTGTTAGATTTGTCAATCTCTGATAAAACAAGAAACAAATGAAGACAATGTGCTTGAGATTTCCATTGCGTTCTGCCTTTTTGGTTACAATCACTGCCATCTTTAAAAACACAATAATATATTTTATTTTATTTTTTGCCCTTTGTCTTGACAGGTGAGAAACTGGCCTCAAGAAGAGTGTCAGTTTCTCAGACTTTGCGGCATACTTCCCACTGCTTTTTAGAGATACTGTAGCTATCCATATCCCCATGTTTGGTGACCTGTCATTGCTCTTCTCCAGTGTGAAAGCCCACTGCACAGAGAAGGCCTCATTCTGACAGACCTCTCTCTGCAGACATTGTATTTTTATGAGCTTACTGCTGAGTTCTACTGCTGTGTGCTGCCTTATATTCAACTTTCATTTTCAATATGCAATGCAACTGTATCTTTATAACCCCAAACACCCTTCACATTGTCATAAAGGCACACAATGATGTAGGCCCATGTTGCTAAAGCACCAACACTGCATTACGTAATAACTCCACAAAATATAATACATTTTCATTTCATTGTGTAATAACAGTCAATTTGTAACAATCTCCCGAATTTTGCAATAAACAGCCTGAACCCAACATGTAATAAATTTTCCCACATTTTGCAATAAATTATTAAATATTGTGGTTGCCATTGAAAAACGTGGGAGTTGCACTTTTTTATGAACTGCATTTTGAATAATCTGAAGCTTTTTGCAGTCAACCGTGCAAGAAATAAAAGCATGAATTTGTTTTTTCAGGTCAGCCTTTGTCCCTGAGTTTGGCTCTATTTGTAAGATGGTAACAAGCTGATCTTACTTCTGCTTTTATGTGGTTATTTACTACTAAGATCAGCCCCAAATAACGCCAAGCAGAACACCACAGGTAATAGGAGTCTAATTTAAGTAATATAATAATGTAATAATTTACACACAAGGTAAAATGTACAAATGTATAACATACTGCTTGCATGTAGGTGAATTATTACATAATGCAGCCTTATTACATAATGTGTTGTTACACACCTAGATGTTGGACATAGGGTGAAGTGGCAGAAATAGTCAAAGCCTTCAATTATACTTCACAATACACATTAAAATAGGTTAGAACTTTATTGTTTTAATCTGGTTAATTTTTTGGTAGTCCTTTTTATCCCGTATGGGGTCCTGATGTGTCGTTAATAAATTATCATGAACAGAGTAAATCTGCATGATGTAAAGGGGTTGGAAATACCACATTCTGTAGTTACAAATGTCGATATAAAAACACTATGGTCATACTGTCATATTTCACTGTTGAAATACAGCAATGACAGTCATGTGGGTACTGTATTATGTCTTTAATGTCATATGTTAGATTCTCCATCTCTGTTAGATACAAAATAGACAAAAATAATTTTATATATTTTTCAGAAATTTTCAAAAACATTGTCAAGTGATCACAACATAAAATAATCAATGACAATCTTAATTATTAGCAAGTAAAATGCTATTAGCAAAATAAGTTTCTTTTACTTTATCATAGACTATATAATCACAATTTCTTCATATGTTCACTGTGATTTCTCTGTAAATATTTTTAACATCATAGTGAAATGAATGACAATCTCTGTGTGATCTGTTTTCAAGATTAAAAAACAAACAAACTGAAGCTGAGAAAAGAAAGCAAAACATTGAATCACTGAATAAAAGAGGCCCGTCTTCTGTGTTGAATAAAGAGTTAAAATTACAGTCAAGCACAGTGCACATAAAATTTAATATTTCTTTGAGGCACTCATTGCCTTGCAGCTCTATGTTCCCAACTGTAATAGTCGGTGATAAACTCTCGGTACAAGTAAGCTTTAACAAATCATAGTTAAATAAATCATCTGTCGTGGACAGTGATAGGAGCTTATCCAGTTGAGGCACAATAATATTTTTATGATCATTTTCTAAACAAAAGCAACATGATAAAGATTGGAACATAACAAAAAGGAAATTAATTTTCTGCATGGCCAGTCAGAGTTTTGTCATTGGTATGTGCAGGCTGTTCCAGGGTCCCATCCATAACTCTTCCTCGTCTGATAATGTGTGGTCACTGTGGGACTCCAGTGTCTCCCTACTGTCCTTGTGGTTGTCAACAGAAGTCTCTTGCTCCTCGCTGACACATGAGCCACTGCTGTTTCTGTCAATCAAAGCCTTGGCAATATTGGTTTTGGACCCAAAACTTCTAAGATCTGTGATGGTGGATCCCAGGGAGCCACAAGAGGACCGAGTGTTGAGGTTGACATCCACGTTAGAGGGAACACATGTACCTGTTCCATTTTCTGTGTTGTTTCCTGTGCCCTCAATGCTAATAATTGGAGGGGGTTCTTCATGAGTCACACCCAACTTGTCAAGTTTTTTAAAATGCTTACCGAGCCGGCACGGAGAGCCTATTTTCAAGTTGTTTGGGTGGGGTGGCCGCCTAGTTCGGACAATAGTGCCATTCTGTGCGAGGTAGATGTTCCCGTTGATGTTGCTGTGGCTGTTGGGTAGCCTGTTCCGCTGGGTCTCTGTGGTGCTCTCCTCTCCTGTGGAGCTGGTCTCATTCTCCCGATCTGCCACCAACTTAATCCGCTTCTTTTTCCCAGGCTGAGGAGGAGAGAAGGGGTCAAGGTCAATATAATTTTTATTCAGAAGGTACACTAGAGTTTCACTGAAACAAACACAAACAGAGCAGATAGAGTTGTACACTAAGTATCGAGATCATGGTATTCACAAAAATTCTTGCCATAATTTACTTCCTTGTCTCAGGAAAAATACAAAAAAAGGTTTTTGAATTCATGGTCATGTGAATTTGATAAGTTGTGACTCAGACAACTTCCTCACAGACACTGACATCCAACCATACAATACTACTAAATAATTTTTATATGTGTGATAATATTTTTGGAACATAAACCCTATTTTAAGATCAAGTATCAGTTCTGTGTTAGAGTTCGTGGCGAGAAATCTTGGTTTTCTATGATATGGAAAAGAGTAATACTAAAAGTAATCATTTCAACAGGAAACGTTCAGTCAAGGCAGAAAATATGGCAGCATGCAAAATTCTCACAGCAGAAACAAGAGCATAGTGTTATACTAACAGTAAAGGCCTAAAAACACACTCAGAAAACATCAAAGAGAAGAACAAGTCAAAGACGTGAGAAAGAGAGCAAAACTGATATTTTGCAGCGGGAAACCACCAACGTTCTCCTTGCTAAGGGTAGATGAGGAAAAAGTGGATGTTTGAAACACACTGTAGTGGAAAGCAATATTTCTTCACTCCCATGCAAGGGTAATTGATTTTATTCACTCTTACTTCACAGTGGACAATATATCTCTCTAGAAGGCAGTTGAGCTTCCCTCAGACTCTGAATCAGCACCTTCTGTGTCTCCCGGCTCCTTTGACGCATCTGATCTTGAGCCACTGGCTGAAGTTTTGTCAGAGGAGATGGCATCCTCGTCCACCTCAGTGATAGGGGACAGTCCGCCGTATGTCTCTTCAGAGCTGTACAGGGGACTAGCGTAGGGGGCAGAAGGCCCAGGGTCTTCAGATGCAACACTGGACCTCTTAGATGATGCTTCATCACTGAGCTCACTGGCTGACTGGCTGCTCTCGTCAGCTGGTTCTTCCTCATCCTCTTCTTCGCTCTCCTCTGTGATTGTGTCCTCAGATCCACGGCTCAGGATGGACTTTTGGGAACTCCGACTGCCACTGGTGGCCCGGGAACCCGCTGAACTCGCCACGCTGCCCAGGGAACTCTGGTCTGTCATCTGACTGCCAGATGAAGGCCCTCCACCAGACTCTGACCCAGACGCTGTCCTCTGGCTGGACCCACGAGAGGAAGAGCCTTCACCTCCTGACACTGACTCTGCCTCGCTTGCCGTCCCTGTCCCTGACTCGGCCTCACTGAGTTCTTCACTGGACTTCTCTGAGGTTACTGCGCTTCCTGATGATTTGGTTCTCTGTGATGACCTAACACTTGAGCCAGATAAAGAGGCAGCGTTGCCACTACCACTGCCACTACCACTGCCACTACCACTGCCACTACCACTGCCACTGCCACTGCCACTCCCACTCCCACTCCCACTGCCACTGCCACTGCCACTACCACTGCCACTACCACTACCACTCCCACTCACGCCTGAAGCGCTGCTCTCCCTGCTGGCCTCAGTAGCTGATGATCTCATGGAAGAGCGGGCGGAAGAGGCACTTTCTCGAGTGCTCCCTGAGGCCTCTTCCTCCTCCGACTCTTCATCAGAGTCTCTCTCTGTTCCTGAACCCTTTTCTGTGCTTGTTTCCTTCTCTGTTCCTGTCCCTGTTCCTGATTCTGTTTCTTTCTCGGAATCTGACTCTTTTTCGGACTCTGACTCTTTCTCCGTTTCTGACTCTTTCACTGTACCCGATGACTTCTCTGACTCTGATTCTCTTTCAGTCCCCGATTCTTTCTCACTGACAGATTCCTTCTCAGTTTCCTCCCCTTCAGATTTGGACACGCCTTCCTCATCAGAATCGCCCAGCTCTTCATCAGGCTCCTCCTCTGAGTCCACAGTGCTCTCGTTAGCATCATCCCGGTCTAAATCTACTTTCAGATAATCTCTGTCAACACTGCTTCTCTCAGATTCCTCATCAGAGCCTTTCTCCTTACTGCTTCCACTTGCACCTGCTTCTGGCTCACTTTCTGTCACACTAATAGAGACTTTAGACTTCTTATCATCCTCACTGGCTGCTTGTGAGGCCTCCTCGTCTTTCTCGCTGCCTGTGGCTGAGCCACGACTCACACTACTCTGTGATTTCCTCCGGATCTGTAACTTGTTGCCTAAGTTGATTTTCTTCAAAACTTTGCCAAGCCGGCTGCGGGTATCAGACTTGCTGTCGATTGGTCCCGTAAGGGCTGGTCCGTCGGTCAGACTCTCCTGGCTGTCAATACGGCGGGCTGACATCAGTTTGGCGTAATCCTTGTCCTTCTTCCCGGCACCAAACATCTTGAACATCTTGGCTTTTTTCCATGGAGATTGGCCAGAAGGACCAGCATCAGATGGCTGTTCTCCTCCCTTGCTGGCTGCCAGGAGTTTGCTGAGTTTCATGACAGACTTCAGTTTCTTGGCAGCCTTAGAAGGCTCGCCCTCTGCTGCTGGCTCAGCTTGTTCGATTTCATCCTCTGGCGGCACATCCCTAAATGCAACCCGCTTGGGTGTACCTCCACCCCGCATGCCGCCACGGCCCCTGCCTCTGCCTCGGCCCTAAGACAGTCATATTTAATTTAGCAACCTTTTGTGATGAAAAAGCCACAATGTTGGAATGTCACCAAGGGCTGACACTGCTGTTTCAATAATACAATGGACACACAACCAATTAAGGCAATAATTATTGACATTATCTTTGAGAATTCACATCTAAGGAAGGGTAATACCTCAGGGCCATGAGGACTGTAGTAATACCCATCATCCTCCATGATCACCTCTCCATATTCATCATACATCGGAGTAATTAGCCTCCTCCGACTGCCGTACTGAGGAAGGTCATACCTGAGAAATAGTCATACAAAATATGAAAAATAATAAGGAAGGCATCAGAAAAAATGATTAGTTTTTTTTTCTCTCTACATTCTGTACGATAAAATGAGACAAGCAAATGCTTTCAACCAACATACCTTCTGCATCGTGTTAGGTTATCCTTTAACATAGCGAGTACTGTCAGATATGTCTAAGCATTAATATCACTGCCAGAATCATAAAATTCCTTACTTTGTTCTTTTTTTTTTTTTAACTCCTTCTTCTTAATCTTCCACTATTATAACAGTCTGGCCCCATTCATTGCTGCTTTTGATCTTTTTTTGTAGTAGCAATATCTTTGATCAGATATGCAGTAATTGCTGTAGTGATTTGCTGCTCTTCCTAAAAATCACTTGGCAAGTTTGGAGAGATATAATAGAGAGAAAAAACATTCAGGAAGCTTTTACAAAAATAAATATAGCAGAGTACATATTTATGCTGAGATGAGAACCAGTGGAGTAACAAGTATTGAATAAAAGCCCATCAAAACACTTTAAAACTGATAAAATCTGTTAAGTCTGTTTTGTTTTAAATTCAGGAGCAGGTTTGGCTACATTGCTTTTATCAGGGGAGTGTAAATGAGACTATCCAACCACACTCCCTACTAAAGAGAGCAGAATGCACTGTTTTATTTCTTCTTCAAAAGGAAGATGAAGATATTTAATTATGTTTCTATTGCTTGGTTGTTTCAGTGTTGATGGCCAAATATACAGAACAGATCATTGATATTGATTATTATTGACAATTATTCTTCTTGCTCCACAATGTTTAATCATAGAGGAGCCTAAACAAAAGAGGCTGATGGCAATTTGTGTCACTGCCACCATCTGAACACATGCTCTGAGGACCATACGGTCGGCTGATTGCTGGATTAAAAGCTTGACCGCCGTTAAAGTGTGCCCCTCCGTGCAAATAGAAACAGATCAAAGGCATCCGTTGACAGCGATGATACACTCATTTGCAATAGTAACTTTTACAATGAACTTTGTGACATGCCAGTAAAATGTAATTACAGCCTGTTGCAAATCAAGGCCAGTGTGAGTCAGACTCAGTGAGCAACAGCTGAGGTAATTATAGTCGGTAAAGATGACAGGTAGGTCAGTGAGCAACACAGAGGTAATTACAAAACTTAATTTCAATATGGACAGTTTTTAACATTTGTCACACTTCCTTCCAGCGATTTGAGCCTGTAAGGTGCAAAAAGCTTCTCTCTCTTTTGATAAAACTGCAGCGTAATTCCCCAGAGAGGTGCAAGTCACCTGCCACAGAGAGGGAGCGCTTAATGAATAACAATTTCTCAGCAGCTGTTACAGCTTTGAGTTCCATGTTTTTCCTCTTTAGACCATATGGGCAATGTAACTAGCAAACCAGAACACTGTCTATCCAATAAACCATGCGAAAACACTCTCAGGTTCCCGACTCAAGGCGGCATAATTGATTTCATTTGATGGGAGTAGAGAGGGTAAACGCTTGGATGGTATGTACTGCTGAAAGGGCAGCATAAGTTATGCTCATCATTTTTATTCTGAACTTCTTTAAAATGTTCTCCAACCCCCAAGGACCTAAGCGCTGGGAGCTGGAAGGCAAGGTTGTGATAAATAAGCCCTAACGATGTAATTTTTTAACTTTAAATGAACCGATGGAGATCAGCTCCATGGATTTAAGAAAGACTGATGAGAGATGAGACAGTCCGTGGGCTGCATGCTCACCCTTGGTCGTAATTATAGTAGTCCTGCGTGTAGTAGTCCTGGCCTGGATCGATACCTGACTCCATGGAGAGTTCCTGCATTTCATAGAGGCAGAGAGAGAAATTACTCAGCACTCCTTGGAGAAAAACAGAAAAAGAAGAAGAGCAGCAGCAGCAGCATACAGGGTGAGTATACAGCAGTATGACTACAATCCCTGTGAATTAAGGAAAGCAGGAGTGTTTCTACCTCAGGTCTCAGAAGAGATGGCCTCAGCAGTTGCTGTTGCTGCCAAAGATTAGTACAGAAGAAGGATAAGGTAATGGAAGGAAGGGACGGTCAGGAGACACACAAACATAAGGAAGAGTTCACTCTACACACCTCTCTTATGTTTATTGCTAAGTCTGTTATAACCATGGAAGAGGGTTGATGAAATATCCAATAATTAATATGGAAAAAAAGCAAGGAAAAAGAGGGAAGAGGTTAACCAAACAATTGCAATTAAGTGCAACAAAAAAATGTAATATCCTGCATATATCGACAGTTCACAGATTATTTGAAGGTGACAATAAAGACTTTAGTGTCAAACATTGTCAAGCAATTTGTTTGGTCCCTGATTGTTATTTTTTTCATCAGAGGAGAAAAACTCACCCAAATGCTTATCTGCTGTTTGACAGGAACATTGGAGAATACAACAGACTTTTGAATCGAACCTAAACTGTAATGTCAGTGTCAGAAGTCCTATCACTGGAATCTCATCTTAATCTCATTCAGTGTTTCCATCAAGTAATTGTAGATAAGAATAATAGGATATAAGCTGCCTCAAGCTCAAGAGTGACAAAATGTCTTGGCACAACAAAAAGATAAAAACAAATCACAACAGAAATGCTTACCTGTCTGCCGTAGCCTCGCCTGCTGTGTGGTGCAGAAAGGAGGGAATAAGACAAATAATGAATATGGATTGACAGCAATATTTCAAGTGCTTTCAGATAAATTAAATGTTAAGTCTACAGGACTAGCTTGTCTACATTCTGCTGACCAGTGAGGAAATTGCAGCTTTACTTACTGTGCATTTTCATGTCTTAAATTACAGTGTAGCAGACCTCAGTTCAGTTTTAAAAAGGGTGCCTAAGGCCACAATGTTATCATGCTGGTGTGGGCTGTCCCCCCCCCTCCGTTATCTCATCCAAACAGAGAGAAAAAAAAGATACAATAAATGCAAATATCAAAGAGGCTGGGAAGATTGGAATTTGAAAAAGTCAGTGTTTATACAGACATATCTAGAGCATCTCCTAGCAGATATGAAAAGGACATTGCGAATCAGGGAGGAATTACTGACTCAAAGAAAGTTAATAAAATTGTCTTCGGTTGTCACGTCATAATGTGCCATTTTCTTTCAACAGACGGCAATGTTTTTTAGCTAAATTGAAGCAAGTAAATCACAGGAATTTCACTCTATCAGACACATAAAAAACAACTCAGAGCTGCTCCTGAAGACAACAGTGCAGTGCATTCAGTACAAGTCAATGAGAAACGGCGAGTAATGTAGCAACCCAACTGAAACCTCCAGGTTCACAAGCGTACAACTGTAACCTGTCTGGGCCCATAAATAATGACGACTTTCACACTCAGATATATGGCCAAGCAATGAGGTGAGCTTCCTCGGGAGGGCTGTAATCTGTTATTATGGGCAGGGACCAGGGGACAGGGCAGAGCCATATGGCCACACCTCCCAGGCAGAGGGGATGATGGGAGTGGGATCTGATGGATGACCTCTTGGCTTGGCTGCTGGCTACTGCTGCTTCATACAACATCAAGAAAAATGGCCCAGTGGACAGCAGCCATAGGAAGTTTGCACAAGAGGGGACTTCGGGGAAGATGGGTGATAAGGTAATGTTGCAGAAAAAGAGCTGAAAGAGGTGAGCTCGACAAGACTTGAATACTGATGAACCCAGTGTATTATATCTATATTTTTTAAGGTAATCTTGGTTTCACACATAACTTACATTTTTTATTGCATATTTCTATATAGAAGTAATAAAAATAGGTCTTATTATTCTGCTGCAACAAATATATTAACCAACAAAATACAGCTCATTGTAGCAGAAATCATAAGTACTTTGACATTCTGTTAAATATCCTTATCCTTGTCAGGTGTTAGATGAGAAGATTGATACCACCCAGACTGAGAGTGGTATTGATCTTCTCACCTAACTCTCAAAAAACAAAAACGAATAAGCGTATTTTGCGTACTGTTGAACTATTCATGGAAAACATAATGTAATATGTGGTGCAAGAGCAGGTGGATGATTTCATACAACAAAAGATCTCTCTGATCAGCATTTTGTGCAAACATAATGTACTAGTTTTTTTGTACACCCTTTGCTATGAAAATGGTCTATGGTTTTAAAATGTATACCTAAAACATACTTTGTCTCTCCCGTCTGGCAGTGAGTTTAATTACACAAACACTCTAGATGTGTGCTAATATCTCCAATGAGGAACAGCTACACCATTGCTTATCCGTATTTGTCCTTTCCGTCAATCACTGTAAACCTTCCTCTTTTTCATTTGGAGCATCAGAAACTTTTTTTGGATGCTTTCCGCCATACTCATAGCTGCTGTAGCCCACTCCGTCACAGCGTTTGCTCTCCCCTTCAGCTCTGGCAAAACTATCATTGCTGGTTGAAGTAAACTGCATTACTACCGGTGTGCCTGTGCAGGAATGTCCCCTCGAAATACTACGAAATACAGAGAGATTTACCTGGCAGTAAAAGGCTTAATCAGCTTTGTGTGAACTCAAGGGCTTGAATGTAACCGATGTTTACTTATATGTAGTTAAATCCTGCACTCCAGCTTTAAGTTTGCCTAAATTTTAGTTGTAACATTTCATTAGAAAGGTGCTTTGGAAATAAAGTTTAGAACTACTTTAATTGTTCAAACACTTTAATTCTGTTCTCATTGTTCACATTTTCATATTACTGCAATCAATCATCAGTCGGGACACAAAAGAGTTTGATAAAACCAGTTGTAAAAATGGAATATAAAGAATACCATCCATTAAGGCTTTTTGCTCTTTGGGTTGAAAAAAACAGCATGTGAGCTGAGAGCCTTTTTACAAAAGAGATTACCCCATGTAGTGAACATGGAATACAGAATTAGCAGGCCTTCGATCTGCCCATCAGGGGAACGTGTGATGAATCAAACATAACATTGCTCTGGAAGGGAGGCATGCCTAGACCATTTGCCTTAGGGCATGCAGGGTGAAACAAACACATGAAGGGTATGTGGGAGAAGGACATAAGGAGTGGAAGTGAAAAACCTGAGCACAGAAATAAAAAGGAAGCGAGAGGAGACAGAAGCCGCATTGCAATGAGTGTAAAGAAGGTAATAGAATCTCCCGAGAACCACGAGGAAAGATTAACAAGAAGGGGCCAAGGATTGGAAAGTATTAGAGCTAACTACAATGGGAGAGGAAGTGGGAGAGAGGATCACGGACAAATGGGACAGGCAGAAGGTCAGAAGGATGGAAAAGGAAAGGAGAAGGTAACAGTAGTTGACAGTCTCACAGGCAGCGGCCCTGGTTAACGATTGATTGGTTCTCTAATTAGCCTTTTCCAGTGTGCAGCCAAACATCACAGTGACTACTTTATCATGCTGGTAGGATCTCTGCAGACATGTGAACAGACAGATCCCCCAGAGGTTAGCTCTCTTAATTCAACATCAGCCTGCCGGTGAATGCAGTCGATGTTATAACCAATTTTAATACCAAAAAGGGGAAATGTTTTCACTTAGAAGTGCCAGGCCCTGTCGAGTCTGCATTCAACTGTATTACATTTAAATGAAAGGATTTCTTGTAGCCTGCCTCAGTATAATATCCAATAAGTTTAATTTCACGTAATGTTGGTTTCAGTATATATAGTTCTAGATTTGTTTTTTATTATCTGTATATTACCTACTGTTCCCTTGCTTTGTGGCTGTGTATCCCTCATCACTGTATGTATTTCCTGTAAAACACAACTAAAAATGAAGTCATATTTTATGTGAGCTTAAAGGTCCAGTGTATAACATTTAGGAGGATCTATAGGCAGAGATGGAATACAATATTCACAGGTAGATAATAAGTGTATAATCACCTGGAAATAAGCATCCACAGTATAAACTGTCAAATAAATGTTTTTTCGCGGGTTTCATAGCTGCTGTAGTTTTTCTTACATGCTTGGAAGGTTGAACTGTATTCAAATGTTTGCAATCTGTAACTTCCCCATTAGATGCCACTGAATCCTACACACTGGTCCTTTAGGTCACTGCAACAACTTTCTGAATATGTTTCATCAACCAATATGTGATCATCCTTCCTGAATACTTATAAGCTAACTTACTTATAGCTTATTTCACAGAATTTGCATAATTTTGGGAAATTCTTAACAGTTATGGTAATTCTCCCTCATTTGAAAAAAATGCCTCACATTTACATTTTTTCTTCTGCCTAATTTGGATTCAGCATGAAGCAAAAGCATCCTAAATGTTTATGCTATTATCTTTGTGAAGAAGAAGAACAAATTCGAAAATAAGCAATATGCAGCCAGCAAATTGTGGGAAATAGACCCCAGGGTTGTGGGATTTATATAGTTTGGTGTTTAGTAATTTAATTAAAGTAGCTTTGGAAATGAAATTTTAATGTTAAGATTCTGAACTGAAATAACATACTTATAACATGAGGAAATTACTAATTTGCTAACTCTGGGCTAAAACACTATCATGTCTCTTAGCGGTTCAGATAATTAAAACATTGAAATTAACTGAACCGAACTGATACCGCATAGGCAAGCCTCTTTTATGTTCTAATGCAAGCCTGTAAGCATATTGTACAGTCAGTGTGGCAGAGCTGAGCACATTTCTTGGCAGGTGACACTAAAATTGGATTTCCACACAAAGTATTAAGTAAAAAAGCATTTTTCTTTGAAAAAACCCACACAGTCAAAATTCTTTGACTTTGCTAAAGCTTATATAAAATACTACTAACTGTGCAAAAAAATAAAAAGTATTTAGAAACAACAGAAAACAGACATGGAGATGTATAAATGGGAATAATGAGAGCATGGAGACAAAGAGATACAGTCAGAACACTGTGGACTGAGAGGAAAACTGTTCACTGAGCTCAGCAGCATTTGGGCTGTTCGAGTTCAATTGGCTTGTCTGCTGAACCTCTGCTGCCATGTTTAGTTGACTCGTTTCATTTTCAGCACAGTTCATACTTGTTGTTGAGTTGATTTGGACTACAGAGCTGGAGTTGGTTCGTTTTGGCGTGCTCTGCTCATCCCAGGGATCAGAGCTTTGCTGTTGGTTAGCACCCTCTGATTCTTCAGTCACTTGCGGTTTCTTGTTAAACTTGGGCACCTTGCAATTTTTGTCTACTTGGCTGTACAGGTTGGCAACAGACCTCTCTATGTCGGCTAGATTCTGGATGTTTTTCAGGATCCCTTTAAGCTCCTTCCTCTGCCCGTCAGTGTGTGATGGGTCAGGAGGAGGGGGGCGTTTCCGTTCTGAAACAGGTCGAAGCGAGGACACGGGTGGCAAAGAGCTTGGAACAAATTGGATGACTGGGCGCAGCTGATCGCTGATGGCAGGTGAGGGAGGGGGAGGAAGAGGTGGTGGAGGTGGTGGAGCAAGCTGTTTAATGACAGGAGGAGGAAGAGGAGGGGGTTGAGGGATATACTGAGGTTTATTAGGGTATGCGGGTGAAGGTGGAGAAGAAGGTGCGCTAGAGGGAGGAGATGTGGGTGGGGAAGGTGGAGGCGGCCGATGTGGAGGAGGAGGCGGTGGATCTTCAGGTGGGTCTGGTATGATCTCCACAGTGATCTGACAAGGCTGAACTGTCATGTAGCTGGAGATGCTGGAGCTGAACTTCCTGAGGACAGGTGGAGTTGGTCTCTGGCTAACCGGAGGCCATGACTCTTCTCCCCTGGTAATGACAATGCTGGGAGGCACATCCCTGCCCACAGACGTGGGGCTGTAGGAGTAATCCATGATGGAGAGCAGGTTTTCTGTGGTCAGCTCCAGCATTTCATCGCCATCTCTATCCCTGACCAGGATGGAAGAGAGGGAGCCTTGGGAGCCTCTGTTGTGCCTGAGGGTTTGCTCCTGAAGGGCTTGCTGCTCAAACTGCCTGGCCTGCTCACGGACTGACAACTTGGTCTCTGTGCTGCCACTCAGTTTAAGCGTTGCTGAACTCTGTGGCCTTCGCATGCCTCTCATGTCTGATTCGAGTATCTGCAGCTCCCAATCGTCCGGGTCCATAAGAGCTTGTCTCCTTGGCACCTCGTAACCATGCAACCCTCCATGAATGCGAGCAGGCATTGACCAGATGCACCCTGATCCTGCTGACTGGGAAGGAGAAAAGTAGAACTGTCTTTCAGACGGACTCTCCCCCCGCGCAAAGACATCAGGACTGCTTAGGGGACTGTTGTCATCATAGACAGGGTTGTGAGTAGTGAGAGGGTTGCAGTCAGAGAGGAAGGTCACGTTGCTCTCTGACTTGGGCAAGTTGACATGCAATGCTCCGTTGCCGTGGGCTGCAATGGCACGACAGGCAAAGGTGCTAAGAATCCTCTGGTGGTCGGCCTCCTCAATGACAGACTTTTTAGCCCTGCCCCAGTAAAAGGTGGAGGTGAAGAAGAAAAAAGACTTGAAACAGGTAAAGATTGATGAAGAATGAGCGAAGCAAGGAAAAGGGATGAGGCAAAAGCAACAGCACTATCATTTGTTCCCTGCATCTTAACTGATAATGACTAGGTATTGTGACTGTGACTCAGATTACTGATTTAAATAGCTTGATGTATGGTTTAGTTTTCAACTGTGTTTTGAATGTCTGCACAGGCTACATCAATGGATGCATTATGCTTTTATGCGATCAAATATTGAAATAATAATATTATAATGCCCACAGAGACGCTGGGCTTTGGTCCAAAGATACAGAATAATACAAATAACTAACATCAAACCATATTGGATGAATTAGTCATATTCAGTCACAACACGAAGAGATTCGACGGTAAGATTGACTGAATACAAAAGGAGACGATTATCTAATGGGAAGGGTTAGGGACAGCGGATGTAGTGATATCTACTGAAGTGCAGTTCCTCTAAATAAAGGGTTTCACTAAACCTAAAAAAATTACAAAACTTTCCAACTGCTACCATTCCACCAAGGTTAAAATGCATTTACACACAAGGGTATTAATGATACAAAAAAGAAACACGCTATTTTAATAAATGTTATGTACAAACTAAAAACACAGCCATATATAGTATATGCCTATGCTCAGCAAATGCTATAAGCAAGAGGGGAAACACAGGTGCTGCTCCTATATTTACAAATAATATTGATCCTATTCATAGACCTGATATATTTTGAGTTTACTTACTGCAGTCTGAATCCAGAGAGACAGGGGAATATAAATGATGGAGAAGATAGAAACACAGACAGATGGTAAGATGACTAAAGCAGCAATGTCAGAGGTGTGGATGAAGTGTAAGCTCAAGGGTGCGTCAACTTTTTTTGATTTATTTGCTGTGTGCATCTGAGGGTATGCAACACTGTTGGCACAAACACAAAGCACACATACACTCATTCACACACACACACACACACACACACACACACACACACACACACACACACACACACACACACACTATACCTTTCCGATTAAAAAACTTTATGCTCATGTTTCAGAGTGTTTTAACGGGGTTGTTTATAAGACCAACTCCTCTTGTTCATATTGCATACTGGAAAACAACCCCCAAATAAATGATGCCCAGCTACAATACAACCCCCTTGAGAGCTTTTCTCCCGCTACAGATCCAAAACCTTCTGTTTGTTGTTGAGTGTTGGTCAACATCTGTTGTAAACATTACAAAGGGTCTTTACAGCATGTCATTAAATCTCTATTTCCTTTTTTTTTTTTTAACAGTGATTGTGATGTAAGCAGCAGTATTGCTTGAACAAGTTGTAAATCAAAATTATTAAACCCAGCGGGGCAGCAGTTTCAATTCAATCTCATTTAATCTGCACGCATTAACTTTTCATTACACGTTCAGGGTAGTATTTAACATGAAAGGTGAAAACGGATTGTGCTGATGGCAAAACACTGTTGACATAAAGGCAAGCTCAGGAAGCGTTCAATATAGGTATTAATGAAAGGAAGGTTTAAAGTAATTAATGACAAAATCAATTATAAAGCACAGGCCAGGTTCTGTATTTGTTTCTTTTTCCAGTAAGCTATGCAGTATTTTATGAGCTTAAACACACTCTTACCTTGACAGAGCGTCTCGCAAAAATGCATACGAAGTCAATTATGAAACACATACATAAGCTAAAGTCTAATCACCAGCTGCGCTGCGGCATATAGTGTAGTTTGCAGAAATCTATAGTGGATCATGGTTAGGAAGCCAAAGAGCAGCGAGATTCATTGATGCAGCAACTAATCTGTCTAAAGCAGCACTGGTCATAATAGAAAAGAGGGGTAATATGATTTTTAATAATAGCCAACTGTTGATGGTGTAAAAAGCAGGAAAATATGAAGGCAGTAGGATTAGCATTCAACATGAAAGCATTCCGTCTGAGTTTGAACCTGAAATATAAAGACAGGAACCCGAAGAGCAAAATAGCTGTTTATCATGGGAACAGGTGGGATGCGAGATAGATAATAAAGGGTCAGGGTTTACTCACATGCTGCTGTCGCCCAGCTCTTCATAGAGGTTAGCAGTGGGAGCACCCGCTGGAGGTGCTTTCCCTCCTGGTGGTAAAGCCATCTGAATCCTGGCAGTTTTGGCACACTCTGCCTGTCGCCTGTGAAAAATGTTAACATTTACAATCACCAAGATATGTGTTTCTAGTCCACTCATACACAAACATAAAGAAAAATCAACCCAAAATACCATCTGTTTCTTTCACATTTAATGTAGTTAAGAATAAACTCCTCCCTTCTAGAACAGTGCAGTTAAAAAGTGAGTAGAAGCCAGACACATCACTTATGTATGAAGTCTAACATGAATTAAGGATGTGTTTTCACAAAGAATCTTTGTAAAAAAAAGAGGCACATGCAGTAACTGGTAGTAAAACTAAATATACTGTTATGTTCAGTCATGTCTTAAGAGATGTTGGGGATAGGAAAAGAGTAACTTGGTAAAGTGGGGTGAAGTATAGGTAGCATCTATTCATATTTCATGTTTATACAAAGCTGCATTTTGCATGCTATTTTTTACTGTTAAGGTCAAAACAGCAGTGAGCCTTGATATATTATTCTATTACACTGGAGTCATCTTGCCATATGTCTTCTATGTGCAAGTCCAATATTCACTCCTATTTTAGTCCTGGTTTGTTATCTTTTTAGCTAGTTCAACTCTCCATCATTTACTTATTTATCTTGAAAGCTGTGTAGAGCTTTAAGGGTTGATTCTTAATGGGATTGACAATACTAGCAACCCTTTCACCTTTAAGGGAGGCATTTGTTTCAGTACAAAAACTATTGCTTAATGGAGCTTTAATCACGGGAACAATAGAAGAACAAAAGAAGGGAGCAGTAAAGGTATGACAACATAGTCCGGTAACATTTTAAAATCAAGTTTGAGGTTGTTAGACAATCAAAGATCCTTGTAATTCTAATAGAAATTGACATTATGATACCCAACAACTGAAAAGTTATTGTAGAAGCTTTTATTTGTGTTCACCTACGGGGTTTAGAGTTACATTATGCCTGATTATACTTTTCTTAAGGCACTAACAAGGAACGTTCAGTTTTTGTTGATTCTGGTAGGGCCCTGTGGACAAAAGCGGTAGTGTTTCCATTGCCTCGTTGCACTGATTTCAAAGGGAATCCGACCGAATCTGACCTGGTGGCAGGCACTAAGAATAACTATACAGAAATAGCCAATCTTCTCGCTGATGGTCTTGTGTTCTTTTGTAGGTCATATAGAGGCATCAGTATTAAATTTAGATTGTTTCACAACCAGTTAAAAAATCCTAGTAGGTTCAACTAGGCCTAACATTTTAGCTGCAGTAGGTAGGTAGCTAGGCAGTAGGTAACCTTTATAAAAATGTCTGAGAATGACAGTTGAGTCTTATTCCCAGGTCCCAAAGTGCTGGTATTTGACGACTTGGGAATGAGACTCAACAATCAACTATCCTTCTTGGATCTGACAGGTTGTTGTTTTTCAGCCACGGTGGATTCTTGCAAATGCCATTAGGACTCAGATTTTATCATATGTTATCTGTCTCATGTAGTACTGCCAACATATAGTTTCAGGAAATATGACAAAAAAGTTTTTCTAAATGTTATACTGCAGCTTTAATGCACACGCAGAACTGATGGGGATAGATTAGAGTGATGCAGGTAATGTTAGAGTTGAGTGAGTGGATATTAGTACATAACTATGAGTCTTGTTGATTTTTGGGTTGATTTTCCTTTTGAATTGCATCAGATTTTCCACATGAAGAGAAACTGTTCTGCCAAATTAAACATTCATTCTGTAACCTCCAAGATGAATCAGTGTTGCTTTATGTCATTATACTGGAGACATTTAGAAAGGGGGGCATTAGCTGGCATGTATTTTGTTCATCATCTTCACAAATTCAACTCATCTTTAAATAACTAATGAATCATGCTGATGAAACAAACTACTACAAACTACTCTACTTCTGACACACACTTCAAGCAATGAAAGAGCAATCACTTGTAAAACATGAAGAAAAATAATTACTTACTCTTTGAACCTGGTGATGGGTTTTGATTCAGAGGAAGCAGAGAGAGGAAGAGAAAGAGATAGGGGACAAAAAAGATGAGTAATTACATAATTGGAGAGACATGTTAGATTAAATAATGACCAGTATTCATGCAATTGTTAGTAAGACAACAGAATATATTTGTATAACATACTATGTTTATCTACTTAACCACAAAACAGGTGAAACAGGAGAAAACTTTCAATATGTTTCTAATTTCTATGCAAAGTAGGAAGCACTCAAGCCTTCAGCAATGACTGCAGGGCTACATGAAAAAGTAGCCATTGCTTTTTTCTTAAGTGAATCTTCTATGCTTCATGTCACCATTACTTATTCACAACAAAATTCAATTATTCCACATGAATAAACAGATTCATGTTTTAAATATTATATTCCAAATTTAGGCAACAGCAAATTATGTTGACTCACAGAAATGAGAAAGTGATTTCCTAAATCATTTCATTTTACCAAAGTAATGTTGCCACCAACAAAGCACCATCTGCTATGACAGTTTGTGTGTTAGGTCTAATGTCACCATCAACAGCTTTCTGCTGTGTGTTTGGTCTGTGCATTTGCGTAAGGACAACCACTCCACCCATCTGCTGTGAATAAACATTTTCCAAGCATCACCGTTTATGGAACACTTGCAGCATGCCAATGATTAGAAGGGATAAGAACCTGACTCCTGCCAACAAAGAGATCAAGTACCTCAACAATCTGAATGATGCTTTAAACAAAAAGCACCATCTTTTTTAAAACTGTATAGTGAGTGTGAATGAGAGCAAGCCAGACTGAGAAAGCACTGTTTACTGTGTGTGTGTGTGTGTCAGGCAGAGATGATTAAGTAGTGTGAAGACGCTCTGTGACGGTCACAATTGGCTGTAGATATTTGTCACAAATGAGTGTTAATTAATCTGCTTTCACAGAGCATGAGCAGGGAGATTAGCCCAGCAGAGTGCGCAGTCAGCATGTCTGATGAGGGAGAGAGAGAGAGAGAGAGAGAGAGAGAGAGAGAGAGGGAGAGACACACACAAAAAGGCAGCAGCCAAGCAAGAAGTGCTCTCGCTTTATCTTAAATACTTGACAAATACACTTTTCAGCAATGCTGTTTGTGGTTTTGCTGGCTCTATTCTAACAGACCACAGGGTACAGGATGCAAACAATGGTTTACATTCCAACAATAAATATCTGATTTGCCTGTGAGGAAGCAAACCCTTCAGCTAAAACTGAGTGTAACACAATATCTCCCAAGACAATGGTCTGCTTAATTAGAATGAATTTCCCTCTTAATTTCTTGACAACCAGTTAAAGGTGATTAATCGAATACAGAAGCCAGTGATTATTACTGAGGTGAGAGAACTCACTGTTTGTAGGTGACCATCACAATGAGAATTGCGGGGATGCAGCAGAGGATGATGATGATGGCCAGGGCCAGGAGAGCTCCCTCTGTGTAGCCCACCGCCTGGGCCGCCTTCTTTACACTGGCCACAATGTCTGGAGAGCGAATCTCGAGGATGCGGCCACCCTCGCCCAGGTGTGGCTGGAACTCCTTGTTGATTTCCAGCACATTCCCATCCAGAAATCTGTTATCACATAATGAGAACAGGAAAGTTAGTTAGTTAATCTTGCAAACTCTTGAATATCATATTTATCATAAAGCTACTATAATCAATATTTTTATGAGAACAATGTACCAAATAGCTCTAGCCGCTCTCATAAAGTTGTTATTGCCTGCAGTAGACAGCTGTTTTCAAAGAAAAAGCCCTCACAATCCACTGTATTCAACCTGCTCAGCACCAAATGGCAGACAGACAAAGATAGCTGGTGAACACTTTGGAGCATTTAGCAGGTATAGAGCCAGATATTTCCCTCAGGAGTTGGTATAGACTAAAAACATGGTTGTGTCTAGATGGCCAGCCTAGATTTGCAAAACTCTTGCGGGAATTGTACTTGATTTGTACTTGTTTCTGCATGTGGGAGAAGTTTGCTTTCAGGGCTTTCTTACCCAGGTCTCCTGTGTTTTGACCAATTCATCCACCACAACCTCTTCCCTACATGGACGTCTTTATCTTCCTCTCTCTTTCTGCACTCATTCATGTCCCTTTAATGCATGTTACTAACTCCACTTCTTCCCCGGAGTTCTTGTGCTTTCTCGTCTCGCAGGTTCTCATGGATCCTGGTGGAGCCTCCTGCCATGGTCCTGCTTGACTGCCATTGCCAATACTGTTGTTGCTGTGCACCTGTCTGTCTGTCTGTCTCTCGCTCTCTCTCTCTGCCTCTCTCTCTCTCTCTCTCTCTCTCTCTCACCCCAACTGGTCGAGACAGACGACCACCCACCTAGAGCCGGAGGATCTGTCCTAGGTTTCTGCCTTTTAACAGGCAGTTTTTCCTTGCCCTTGTCGCCAAGTGCTTGCTCATGGTGGTACTGTTGGGTCTCTGTAATTAATGTTAAAGAGTTCGGTCTAGACCTGCTCTATTTGAAAAGTGTCCTGAGATAACTTCTGTTATGAATTGGCGCTATACAAATAAAATTGAATTGAATTGAATTGAATGCTATGTCACCTGACTTCCTACAGGCTTTGTCAAACTTACCAGTTTTTCCAAAAAACTTGTTGCTCTTTAAAACAATAAATTTAGTCTAGGTTTTATTCTAGAATAAACTAGAATACCACCATATTTTGAAGCAGATCCTGGTATATCTGCCATTGCAAAGTCAAGTGCTACTGTGTTGAATCATATACGGATGGGTGAGTGTTTTGCAAATCTATGGTTACCATCTGGACATGGCCCAAAAACAGAGCAGCAACATATCAGCTTGAAAGGAAATATGTCAACACTGTGTTTCTTGTTTCCACTGTCCCCAAATGGCCAAAAACAGTTATTACAGGTTTAAGTGTCTCATCTGAGAGACAATTATTTTAAGATCAGTGGCATCTGGTAATTTAGATGATCACATTATGAATTATGTAAAAGTGACTGGGGATCTGCATACTGTTCATAGAAATGTCTCTTCTAAGTGCAAGTGATTTGTCTAAAAAAGAAAAAAATGAAATACTTTCGACCAAAATGTATTGATTCACACGTCTGCAGTGTTTCACTTACAGACCTGTGGCAGAATTTGCATCAATATTGTAGTAAAATGAACATGCATACAAGAAATTCACCCACTGTTGTACCAATGTTATTTTGTAAGAATAACCAGAGTGGCTTTCAAACATTCTGCATCACAGGCGTGTGCACACTGCCACATCCAATTACTGTCATTTTTGTTTTTCTATAGGTGAATAAATGAGTGGAGATGAAGGTTATTAAATGGCTTCTCTAGAAATCTATCCTCTCGAGAGCCCAAATGGTAGAACATGCTGTATTCAAGGTGGCATAAGGACACTCACACGCAAGAATCCACTCACTACGTGGTCTTTCTCTTTCTTTCTCTGTGATCTGACAGCAGATATATTACATGCAATTACCCCACAACATTGTCAGACATGTACTGCATGCATAAAAAGCCTTTCTCCTCTAGTCTAAAGGATTTTCCTGACAGTATCTGTATCTAAGGAAGCAGAATAGTATTAAAGCCTCTAATAAAAAATAGCTTGGCCCTCTCAGAAGCTGCCACTTGCGATAACAGTGATGGTCACTGGTTTTAGTTAAAAAAAAATATGTTTTTATGACACAAGTGACACCCTTCCAATGGCTCCAACCTCAATCCCCCACTTAACACCACACAAAACAGTGGAAGCACTCATCTGATGGTCAAGGACACTGAGATAATGTCAATAGATTAATTCAGTATGTACACAAAGCACCCATGAATGTCATGTGTGGAGCATTTCCAAATGAATCTCATCACAGAGAGAAGGGGTGACGTTTCTTTGAGCCACACACAAAACAGAATTGGCAGTAACCATGGATAAAGAGAAATAAAGACAGAAGATGGTGTCAGCTCAGTGTAAGGAGCAGGAAAGCAAATTGGTAGAGAATGAAGGGGACAGCTCAGATGGGGGTGTTTCCTATTGATTGGCTACTCTCATGCTCTGATGGAGTTGCCTTTTTAAAATTGGTGTCTGATCGGTTTGACAGAAGGGCTAAGAAACATAAGAAAGGTTAGGACAAGATTGTCCTCAGGTGCCAGCTAAGGCCAAGGTCTTTTTCTTCTGCTGAGATATAAGTGTCTTGTAAGCACCTTCTGTGCTGCTTTAATAGCATGCGAACATGGCCTCTCAGTGGTCAAACAGGGTTTAAGCACATAGAAATCTCTCGTTGTCCCCATATAAAAAGGAATAAAATGTATTGCTGGCATATCTCCAGGCTCTTGGAACAGCCTTTGAGGGACTGGTATGATGGGTTGATGGACTGATTGAAATACTCCCTGCTTCACCCTCACGTTGTCTCTCCCTCTCTTATATCTGCCTCTTTTCTATGACATATGACAGATTTGGTGCACCTGCAGGATAATCAACATCTTGAGAAAGTGAAGGCAGTGAAAAAGTGGAGAAACTGTAGAGGAGGAAGCCAAGGGGCGGCCTGAGAAAGAGACATTTGCTGACTCACTGTATGGACAGAGGATTAAGAGAGACTGCAGGGAAAACATGCAGCACAGCAGGAACATTAGAACATCAATTTAAACCAAACGGTGGACTGTACTTCTTGTAATAAAATTCACCCACTCACTTGAAGAGCTCCTTGGGCGCAATGGCTCTGTTCGTGAGCGGGTCAATAGCGTACACCATCAGGTCCGACTTGCTGTAGTCCTCTAGCTCAAAGCCATCGCCATGACGACGTGGCCCGATGGACTCGACAATCACCTTGGCACCCGGGATCTGGTCCTGGACGTGGCGCTCCAGAATACTGAAAACAAAACCACAAGTAAATACTTATACTTATATAAAAAAATATTAAAAAAAATCCGTAAATACTAAAAAGCAGTTAATGTCTAGACTTATATAAACTATAATCCAGGTTCACATTAGTTCAAACCATTTCTGGCACCTCTCTGCCCAAAGCAATATGAGAGCCACCAATCTTAAGTACTCCACTCTGGCAATGATTGTCCCATTGGGCAGCAGTTTTCTTCCCCACACTGGGCTCTTGGCAAAGCAAGGCTCCGATAATCCTTTTCAGGCAGAGAGAAATCCACACCTCAAATTACAGCCAATAAAGGAAAGCCTTGCCGTCTGCGTTTGCCAAGGTGGATAAACAGTTTGAGCACTCAGGTAAAATGCCCCCTGGATCATTACCAGCACTGTGCAAAATCGCAGACCTCTCAAATGACATCACTGCAAAGAGCTTAACATGACTAATGTGTGTGTTTTTCAGCCTAAAGAGCAGTGTCACTTGTGTGGGAGAGACACACAGCAAGCTCTTGAAAAACAACTATTAACGCCCATTTGCCTTTCAGATTGACTAATTAGGCTAAACACTGTGCCCCAAGAGCTGAAAAAATATGTTTCATGAATCTCTATCATTAATTAATTTGGACTAGGAAAAAGGACTCTAGAGGACTCAAATGTCTCATTGGCTAGTCTATGATCTTAATTGATTGGTCAATGGTTTTTGAACAACAAGGTGGCATAATTAATTTTTATTAGTCAATGTTTATTTTCAATAGTTGTTTGGAACTGCTGAATCATACATGTTGCTCCTGTCCTTCAAAAATAATTTCATTTGCAAATTAAGGCGCCACCATGAACCAAGTTCACCTCATATCGCAGTGGGCAAAGCACTGGACAAAAATGCAATTCATTTTCTAGTGTAAATTATACCTGAAATCAATCAACAAAAGACATTTTAGAATGCAAAGGAATGTCCTGAAAATAATATGCTACATGGACGAGAGCGGTAGAAGAGATGTGGTGATGAGCATCTGCTGAAAGATGAATATTTGATGGCTATTTCACCTTGTTACATAGTTTACTTTATAAAATGTTAACCCAAATATGTACTCCTAACATTATGCAAACAAAGGTATTGGTTTATTCTCATTTAATTTGGTTGTACTTTAGAATTTCATGTTAAATGTTGTCTTACCTAATGAGCTCCTCCCTTTTCTCCTCCACTAAGGTGGGTGGGACAGTGGACACAACAACTTGCATATCCAACGCGTTGACCACAGAAACCTGAGAGAGAGTAGGATGGAGGGAAAGAGAGAAAAAAAAACACAAGGTAAAACAGACAGCAGAAAAAAGTTATTCACATGCGTCCTAATGTGAGTTTGTTCGACTCATTCAAATGCTTCTTTCGGTGGACAAAATGAGACTCTCTAATTGCCTGCTTGTATTGGTGCCATGCGGCAAACTTAACAGGGCCTACTTCTGATGCTGCAGTTAAGTGCATAGGCAACAGCCTCTGTGCTCCGAAGCCAAATCTCCCATGCGGCTCCTGTGAAATTAGGTTTCCCCTTGAAAATTAACGAGCACCATGGTTAAGCACTCGCTGCTCTCTCATATCCAGGCAATGTCCCAGACCCTCCTTCTGTCTCGTTAGAGGCTTGTTAGCCAGACATATTTCACTGCAACGAAAAATAAGCCTGCCCACAGTCAGGAAAGATAAGCATTGAATTGGGGGCAAAGCTGAGCCCAATCACAGTGGGTGCATGGGGAAATTATAGGGAAAAAGAAATACACACAGAGAATAGAGACACACAGACACACATTTAGACAAACATATAGACACACACACTCACACGGACTCGGACATGGACAGATGTACGTAATGCCTTAGTTACATAATGAGTTAATACACATGGCTGAGAGAAAGAGTTTAACTGGATCATCAGCCAGTGGCAGAGGCCACACACTGAGTGCCCCATACCCGCTGTGCATAATTCAATAGACTGGAACCAAAACATTTAGTACTAAGAAAAAAAAAAAAAAAAGCAAAAAAACAAAAACAAAAAACACATAATCTAGGCTCATACTAAACACATTATTATGAAGGAATACAGAGCAGAGATTTCTCCAAAGTGAATAAACGAAATGTGCTCTGACATCTTTTGATATATTGACACAACTATTGTTAAAACAGCCATTCATGTCTGCAGTTTACTTCATAAAACATCACTCTATTAAACAAATAACATGTTAAAGGGTTACTCCAGTGATTCAATATTCCATAAAGTAGAGGGAGTGTGCAGCAGATATCCTGACTTTTACTCCCTAGTATGGGACAAGCTCCAAAACCCTGGACCAAACACCCTATAATGCCACTTGAACTTGTCTTTTGTTAGACCTTCTCTACCTAGTCTTTCAAACTCCACAGTAACACTCTATAATACAAACAGCATAAATTATATAAAATAATAATTCAGCATGTTGGAAAAGATTAGCTTAGTATATAGACAGAAGATAGAGAATTTGAGGGGCTGGCAGGTTAATTTTGTTATTTATAGACACAGCTAGCTGTTTCCATTCTTTGCGCTGAGCTAAACAAACTGGCTGTAGGTTCATATTTATCAAACAGACATGAGAGTGATCTAATCTTTTTAATTTAACTCCACCAGAAAGTGAAGAATGTATTTCCCAAAAGGTCGAACTTTTTCTTTGAAAATCCCACAAGTCCAATCCAAGATTATAAAACTGATGTTATTTGAGTAATTTACTGGGACTTGACAAAGCTCCTTTAGAGCCACTGAGGACATTGTTTTCACAGGCTGTGCAGCACACCCCAATAACTACTAAATTGACTTTGACGTGTAAAATTGTTGGAACGCCCCTTTAATAAGGCTCTCCTGTATCAATGAATTATAGACAGGTGACATTGCAAACCAATTCCACACTTCAAAGCACTGTTCTCTGCAGAGATACCATGCCGTGGAAACAGCATGTAACGTACAATCAATATGCCACTGGTGTGTAGGTAACAAATAAGTCAAGGACTCACCAGTGGGAACACAGTTCAGTACATGTGCTACATATATATTGATCATTACAAACATAGATACACTGTAAAAAAGCACCATACTGGATACTCACCACCACTTCGGAACTGCTGCTGAGACCTTTTCCATAGTTGTCTGTGGCAATAACTTGAAACTTGAAGTAGGACCTGCGCATGTTTCGAAACATCATGGCCGATTTGATGATACCTGTGTAGGTCTCGATGACGAAGCTGTCCTGGCCCTCTGGTGTGGGTGGGATAATCAGGCGGTATGCCATCTTACTGTAATTCCCAGTGTCCTTATCAGTGGCCTATAACACACATGTAACACACAATGTGAGACAGGAAAACATCCATGTGATATGCTTAAGAAAAAAGAAAAAATTGTATTCAGACAACAATGTCAGGATTTTTTGGAATGAAATGGACTGAAATATCAATACAGCCCGAGCCAGCTTCCACAAACTCTTGACTGTGATGGTGGCTGTTGTGGTTCCAAGCATATTGCACTTCTGGCCACTTTCCAATCAATGACATCATAGGAAAGATTTTGTCTTTGAAAGCCGATGGGAAACACCTGCTGTGACATCAGTGAATTGGACCAGAAGAGCAATATACTTGAAAGTCTAAACAGAAAACACTGAGGATGGGGTTTTATTTCTTGGATGATGCAGTGTCGATTTTCCCCCAAATCTCCCCTGTGGAGCTTCAGTCTTGCTGTTATTTATCACACAATTATTCTGCAGCCATGTGACAAATCAAAACGATTAAATTTTCACATGACAACAGACTATCAGAGCTTCCTGGCCGTAGTACTGGAGGTTAATGCTGCTTTTTTTCTTGAAGGCAGCATTTCCTTTTATGCAGCCATGATTTGTTGCCACGGTGTCGTATTATGTTGTGTAATAATGTCAAAACCACTGATGGACAACCATTATAACCTTATGTTAAACAAAAGCTGGATGGGAACCACTGAGTGTTTGACACATTTTTATTAACAATTCAATGATCACAACAAACTGAAACAAGCAGTGAATGAGTGGAGCTTTAAAGTGATGTCCTCCTGGCAGAGATATTTGCTCATAATTCTTTTTCCATGCAGGTGTTCTATAAAAGTAGCTGACAAAAGGGAAAAGAGCTGCAGCTGGAGGCTCATCAGTTATCTCTATCTCAAGTGGTTTGTTTCACGCAGCTGCAGCATTAACCGTTGTTACCCACGGCAAAAGGCTAGAGAAGAGCCAAAGTTTCCTGTCTTTATTTTCTTTTATTGTTCAATGTTGAATAGTTTTGTTTCATCAGAGGTGAAATCAATTTTCTGGCCACTGATATGGCAAACTTTGTTTAAAGCTTGGGTAGGGAATGCATTTAAGAAGGACTTTTTGTCATATTTGTTGAAATTCTTTTTATATCCCGACAGCAATCAATAAATCAAATGCTCTGAAAAAAACCTACAGTATCTGTGGCTGTTGCATGCCTGTAATAAGCTGGCAATCATTTCATTCAAATCGAATGGGTGCTGCGCGTAAGTGTTTTGTTTTATTTTTCTACCCGTCTGAGAGACCGACGACATCCGCAATCAATTAACTGGTGGAAAATCTCCCCTCACTCTCCCCCTCCCGTACAGTCTACTGACAGTTGCTCATGCTCTGCAGAGAAACACAGAGTGAAAAAGAGACGTAAGCCTCCTCCACACGCTCCAAAATGAGAGTTATATTTTTTGGGCAACAAAGAAAGTCAACAGAGCAGAACAGACATGCAGCCTGTATGTGTCTGTGCCTGCACGATACACCAATGGAAAAGAGAAAAGAGAAAAGAGAAAGTGGCGGGGCAGGGCAAGCCAGTGAGTGTGTGCGAATATCCTAATCCCCAAAATTGAAAACTGAATACCTATTTAATGAGAATATTTAGGGCAGCCCTAATTTTTTGGGTTAGATACTTTCAAAATCTGGCAGTCCAGTCTAGCTACCCCATCTTTATTTACAAAGTTATGGAGCAAAATCATCATTCCTTTGGAATATAGTTTGTAATGTAATGTAAGTTCCATATTCACTCTTTTTTAGCTCTGTTTTTGGTCTCTACCAACTCTTGAGGGAAATGTCTGACTCCTTAGCTGCTAAAAGCACCACAATATTCGCTAACTGTGTCTGTCTGCTGTTTGGTGCTGAGCAGGTAGCGTACAATGGGCTTCTAGAGTATTTTCACTGTCTGCTGCAGCCAAAAACGGCACAATAAGAGCGGTAAAAGTGAACCCAAACAGAAAAGTTGTGGGCCAGACAGCTAATCAATGAGCTGAAAGTCACTTTAAAGCTCTGTAAAGTCAATTGCAGCAGCAGTGTCAGATGGTAATTCTCTGTAGTTTCATCTCTACGAAGGATGCCTCTAACATTAGAGACTACGATTTGATAGAATTATTCAAAAAATATTGATTACAGCCGCTTTAAATAGGAAAGTCTAATTAATGAATTAATTAAGTAATTAAATGTTATTGATGACTTTGCATTTTTTGAAATTTAACATCTAATCCTAAAAAACAACGTAAAATTGAGTTTATTCCCTGAGGCATGAGTTCTGACTGGCCATTGAGCTCACACACAGGCATCAATTTTCAAAGTGCTTGTCGGTAGCGAGTGACACTGATAAATAGGAGCAATCTCTTTTTTTCTCTAGCTATTGGCAGAGGAGGGACATGGGGAGCAAGGTCCCAATGAAAGGGCTGCATAAATCAAGAGAGTGAGATACCCTCATTGGGTAAAGACAAATGAAATATCAAATACATGCATTAGATATGTAGGGCAAACATTTTAAAGATGTGATGGACACTGGTGTGAGGTTGCCAGCTACCACAAGACAGCAAGGGGAAAATGTATAGGTTCCAATGGTTGACATTAAAGGGGACCTATTATGCTAATTTACAGCTCGATATTTATGTATTTATATGAAATAAGCCATTTTAGCTCCTGTCTCTTTAAAGCCCCCCTCCCTGTAAGCCTACTTTTAAACTTCCAGATGCCTGCTGAGGGGGAGCACCCAGTGCTTCATCCTCTTGCCAGTGAGATGCTGAAATTGCCAGGACTGGGAGCTCAGAGCTCCGGGAGAGTGTTGGTGTTTACACCTCCAGTACAGGAGCTGTGGACCGCTAGGAAGCGCCAGTGCTCCAAAATCCCAGTCCGGCAAGAGTCAGCTAATAAGAAATAATAAGAAAGCTAGCTAACGGCACCTACACTTAACAGCAGTTTGTGGTTAGCCACTTTGGCATCAAGTATACAACAATCTGTCAGAGAATCAAGGCAGAGCAGCCAAGGGCATCAGAGGAAGGAGCACAAAATATCTAACTTTCCTTCACAACTGAAAAAGCACTTTCTGTGAGGCATACAGACAACCTCCAAAAACACAAAGAGTAGTCCAGAATAGAGTGTTCAAAAAACTTCAACCGACTGAGCGAGTGCTGTGCTTGAAGCAGATGACCATAAAGAAATCTGCAAATGTGAAAACTTTTTTTGTGAAATTTTGTGTTCAGAGCAGTCTGAAACCTGAGCATCTTACTCACATGTACCTTATTATTTGACATTATATGATAGAAAAAGCATAATGGGTCCACACCAAGGAATAAACGTGAAGCATCTCCTTGTTGTTCAAAAAGCTTTTCATTGTGTTTAAAAACAAGGGGCCCAACAGTCATTGAAGGAGCTGAAACAAAGTGACAGTCATTTGGCTACCCATGAATCCAATTACTTACTGATTACAAAACAGGGTCAAGTAAGTGTCACAAGGAGCTGGGTCTAATCATATAATCAAGACTTTTCCCTCTAAACAGCACACTTCTACCTTGTTAATGAAACATTTTTCAATTCACTTTTCCCCCTCCGCTGAAATAAGACTTCAGCAGCAAATACGGCAAACCTATCTGGCACTGCAAAGTTAATTTGCTTACATGAAAATGTCGACCAGTTATTGCTTAGTGACTATACTATTTCTGGCGTGAAATAACATAAGGTCAGAAATGTCAGAATATGCCAAATGTACGATGACAATATTTCTAATGATTACCTCCAGAGAAAAGGGGCGCTCAGCTTTATTACTAATGAAGTCAAGTACAAACGCCTCACACTAGCCATACTCCAAAAAAGCTGTGCCTCCTGGGGAAATTATAGATAGCACTTGACCCATAATTCAACACTTTGGTGTCTATTCCAAGTTAAAGGAAAAGCCGAAAAGGGATTCGGAAATGGTTGAGTGCTACAAGCCACTGCACAGTGTTCAATTCATGATTCAATGCCACATCTGAAACTACACTGGGTTTTTACATATTTAGAGGACTAAGGCAATGGGCATTGTTAAACAGCTATTATTTTAAAATCATCTCCATCATTAATTATTCTAGAAAAAAATCTCTGCATTCCTAATCTGAAAGCTACAATAACGTCTATCCCTGATACAGGTTATCAGTTTGTATGTAATTACTTTATACATACATACTCTCTCTCTCTCTCTCTCTCTCTCTCTCTCTCTCTCTCTCAGACACACAAAACCACGCTGATTTTAAATCATAGCTGGAGAAACAATGTTGAATGAAACTATGATTTACTGGTGTCTGATCAATTGTCTGTGTTTTTAAGTTTCACCCACTCTGTATTCAGGATGCTTGGATTTCTACAGTTTTGGTGTAAAATGTATTTTAATTTATCTATTTGTTGTCCCTCAAACACCAATATAATCTTGTTATGCTCAGGTGAGTTTTTGTGTGCCTCAAGCATACAAAATTTGGCTCATAAGAGTTTAATTAATTGTGAATGGTTAATTTCCAGCCTGTAATTTTCAATGTTATCTCAGGACCCTCTAACACAACAGCTTTAAACACTAAAATTTGGCTGGAGTGTCATGCCATTGTATTAATTAAAATAGAGGCCATCAGGAAACTTAATTAATACCCTTATTTTTATTTTTTTTTATCAAATGTCTGTGTCAAAAGACCTGCTAATACATTTTGGGGATGGAGCTACCCATTTGAATTACTGATTGTGGCTCTAACTCGTGGTAAAAATAAAAATAAAAGAATTATATTAGTTCAAATTAAGGATATACTGTTTTTCAAACTTCAACCAATGTGAAACATTTCCCTCCGTTTGAAGGTCTCAGAATAAATATATGACTTATACCTTTAACCTTTTATTTTTATCTCTTGCACACTTTATATACATGTATCATCATCCATTATCCATCCACCCACACACATTATCATGTACTGAAAAAAGGGCTGAGAGTGTTCTACAGTGATCAAACCTCAAGGCTACATCCACAAGCACTGGCCAAGCAAAGTACATTTGTTACAATGGTTTAACGTCTTATATTTAACTTGACGTTTCTGCAGATGTAAATGCATTCAGGTCGTTTTTTTACATAGGTATCTCCTATAAGCATCTCTGCATATGCAGTCGTCTGTCTTATATATAAAACTAAATATATGCTAATCCCATGTTTAGAGTTGTCAAATGCAGTACAAAATGATTCACATAGCTTTACCAAGTCCTTGAGGAATGTTTCAGTGTCCTACAAGAGCTTTTTTTTTTAAGTTATAACATAAAGATTAAGGATAAGCTCATTTCCTGCAGCAGGAAAGCAACCAAATAGTTTTATTTGAGACCATCAATAAAGTGAATATAATCCCTGTCTGCCCCTGGTATTCCTGTCTTTTACTTTCAGACAGCAACACATTCTTACGTATTTTATTAATAAGGAAAAGGGCATAAGATGAGTGACAGCTCCCTCCTCTGTATCATTTGATGATTTGGCTGATTTTCGCATTTGCAGGGAGGACTGAAATACTTTTTATGAATCTTACTTCATGACCTTTGTACTCCTCAAGTTGCCTGCTAGATATTACACTGTTTCTTTTCTTAAACCAACTCTTGATACCTTTGGACTAAGTCCAATGTCCATTATACTGAAAATAGCTCCCACGTTTTTGGCCAGCAGTTTAATCTAAAATGGCTACAGTTCCTCCCAATGAAGTTTCCTTTCACCTCCAAAATATTTGGAAAGGAGTGAGTAAAACCCATAATGCACTATAACTATGTTGTTGGTTTGTGTTGTGTTAGGACGAGTGACACATAGTTCATGACATCAGTCTTACCCTGCATAAAAGTCTTGAACCAAACAGTCAAATAAACCAGCGATGGCTTAACCTGCACCATTTATATGCTTCCACTTGGACAGATTACTTCTTTCTAAGTTAAGTGAATGATACTAAGTGAATAAAATGAGGTACAAGGTTCAGGTTAGCTGCCCAACACGACCTCCTATTAAAGATTAGGATTTTCACTGAAATTGAAAAGATAGATGTTTTGGTTGATTACGATAGGCCAGTGAGTTTCAAACCCCCAGTCTAACATTAATTATGGCAAAGGCTTTGGGAGAAAAATACAGTCTGGATATCAAAATATGAACAGCAGCCAGGATTAGTCTGCAAACGTATTATTATAAATCAATGAACTTAGAATCCATGATTTATTAAGGTTATAATCAGATGAAATACATCCTTAAAAAAAATTGGAAACAGACCACTAAAAATAGTTAAAGTGAAGTGGCCAGGAAATATATGTGGAGAATTACAGCTAGCGAGAGGTATGGGGCAGACTGACTTGATCTTTAGCAGTTATTTTGACCTTTTTTTACAATGGCATTTCAAAGACTATTTTCGATATGTAACAGGTTCTACTGGATATCCTTCACGTACTTTAGAAGATATTTTTTACCCCTCAAAAAGATTCTGTTGCAGTTATGGTGGCTTGTTAACTTCTGCCTACAACCAGGATTAGTTCATCTCAGTTGTCTTGTCCTACCTGACTATTGCCTTAACAAACAAACATATATTTTTTAGTGCCTGCATTAGCTTTCAGCTTATCTTATATGTTTCCCCCATTTTAAAGGAGCACCGACATGTTTTATCTACGGTTGAGTAGACATCAATCAAGTTATCTCCTTTATCTATTTCTTTTGCACCACTTAACACTGTATTTAAATACTATATACTTCAATTACAAATTAGAGCCTCTATTAGGATAAACTAGACACATAAACAGAACAAAACCCAAAAAGCTTGAAACCATGACAAATACACAAACTTGATTTGATGAAATATTATACTTTCACACATAACTAGCATGACACTGGTTCCCAAGGATTTTGTACACAGACACAAACCTAAGCTTTCAGTAACACCCACCCACAGATAAAGAAAAAATACAGACATACAGTACAGTGTAGTACACAGGATGACAAAGGCAGAACAGGCTGATAATCCGACATGATGTCCAGCCATATTTCTATGAACATACTCGGATTACACTGCTCAGTTCACTCTGATCCCACCTGCTCGTGGACAAGGCAGTCAGTGGGGAGAGCGAAATTGAGGAAGAGATGTAGCAAGCGATAGGGGAGGATTTGAAACTGTGCCACAGAGAGCAGATCGAATGAATGAATTCTCCCACCATGGCTGCAGGGTAAGTGTTGAAAAAGTGTGAGCAGAATCAGGCACTTAACTTTCAGACTGTTTCCATAAACATGAATATATAAACAAGCAAAAAACAAAGACCAGAGCTGATGTTTTCTTACCACTATCTTGAGCACAGAGCTGAAGATCTTGGTGTCCTCTGTTACGCCACCTATGTAGAGCATCCTGGAGAAGACGGGAGGGTGGTCATTCTCATCCTGCACGTCAATGAACACCTTGGCTGTGTTAGCTGCAAAAAGCAAACCAGAATGCATTCAAGTCCTGTGGAAGCCATTCACTTCACCAATACAGAGCCTTACTTGTATGGATATCTATCTTCGTGTGGAAGAAGAAACTAAGAAACACACAGCATTTCACTCCAGTCTGTGTACTTCAATGTACCTATTCAATCATCTGATAACCAATATTTGCTGCACCCTTCCTCACAAAATAAGAATTGGGACACACAAGCCCAAAAGTTTGTATCACCATGGCCACTAGCTGTTGAATAAACACATCTCTGAAGTCATCCGAAATGGCGTTAATCAAATGTTGCATAATTTAGCCTCAAAAGTGACATCAATAAAATGTTTCATGGTCATCAGCTTGTCCACAACTTCAAAAGAGAGCTTGAAATCATTTTCCAGAATATTTTGCAAGTCATCAGTGAAAAACATCACAGTATGTCCCAAATAGGATCCCTTTGGCTAGCCATCACTAGTTTTGAATAAAGTAGTACTTGTGTAGTTGCTTATCATCCGTGGACGACCAATTTTGAAATCAATTTTTATTTATTTTGAATCTCAGAACTCGGATTCACCAACCCTATGAAATCTGACTGGAAGAGGATTTGTAATTGCATGCAGCTAGAAAGAGTCCTAACTCAACTCTTTCTAATGAAACAGCGTGAGAAGCTATTCTTGGAAGCTGGCAACTTTGAGTCAATAATGAGGAGGTTAATTTTGTTTTGATAATGGCAAATATTTTGAATCGAGAAAAAATATGTTGTTGACTTCTGTCTCACTGCCCCCGATAAGTAGATGAGAAAAACAACTGAACCAGTTTTCATTCTGTTTATCAACCAATTAGCGATAACACTCAGACTCTGAGTGAAATATGGCTTGGTGAAAAAATAAAAATGATGATGAAATCTTGTCTTCTAAGCCTTTATTTTAAAGTGAGGTCTACATCGCATCATTTATTGTTTATTTCCCCTACAACTTGGTGCACGACAATATCATCAATAAAAAGGCTCTGAAAGTTAACAGGCAAGCAATTTGCACATTATTGGGAATAGGAATGTGAAGGGCATCCAATAATCAAGCAGCAAGAATTTCCCTGGAGTTAGAGGAAACACTGTGAGAAAGAAACAGGGAAAGAGGAAGACATTTTGGTATTTCAAATCTAACTTTTCTGGTTTTTGCCTTTCATTCACACTGAAAAGCCTTAGAGCTCAATTCTGATTTGTTGTACAGATCAGATTTTGTTGCGGTAAGCAGATGATAATGATGTTGAGGAGAAAGAGAACCACAGTTTTATTATGGCATGTTGTACAGATGCAAAACTGAAACAAACACAGACCGGTTATGATTCAACCCCTCAAGTTTTGTTTCTAAGCGTCACCCCAAGTGACTCAAGCCAGCGTAGGATTGTGATGAATGTTGATCTAGAGTGACGTAAAAAAGTAGCATGGATTCTGATATGACTATAAAAATCAGACCTATATCTGATTTGGACGACATATGAAAGTGTCCCAAATCAGAATTCATATGAGAAAGATCAGATATCACTGAATCTGATGTTCAAACAGAAATAGAATGTGGGACACTTTTGCCTGCAGTGAGGCCTTTGAAATATTCATCCTGTCTCTTCAAAAGGAAAACACACATATATACGGACTATAAACATTTGTCTCCCTAATTTGTCACAGTTACACCTACAGTGTGCAATGTACAGCATAAATACATACAGCGCAAAATCCTTCCAACACTGCAGTTTAGGTAAAAAATATGCAGTGTCAAGGACCATTTTTCTTCTGGCGGCATACAAAAATGTAAAGTCATGTGGCATTGGAGCTAAGGATGCACCAGGGGAATTGGACAAACAAAAACACAGCACATCAAATTACAGACACAAAAGCCGTAGTGTGAGACACAGAGGGAGGACTCCAGGGGATGGGGAAGAGGTCTGCAGAGTTTCTCTCTTTTCCCTCTCTTTGTAGAAAGCAGCTATATTCCAACCTCAGAGTATCAGTACATAAAATACATAAATATAGACCCCCCCCTCCTTCCTCCTCTCTCACGCTCACATACACTCATAAAGATGCATGAAAGATACGGGGCCATTAAGAGGAGGGATTGCTGCTAAGGCAGAGTAAGCTTGAGTGTGCCTAAGAGTGAATTATTATTTAGAAAAGGTGTTTAATTAAATCTTACCCTGGATAATTATGTGTGTGCATGTGCATATGAATGTCAGAGTATGCACTTGTGTGCAAATTGGCCATGTGAGTACATATACAATAGTGCACTGGTCCTAACTAGGCTAAGAGGAATCTGTCTGACAAATCAGGCCATTGAGGTTCTGATAATTTAAACTCAATAAAGACTCATTGATGTGAAGAAAGATATTCCCTGTCGGCTTCTCTACACTCTGCCAAAGGAGGATGTTAGCCTGTAGATGCCAGGAAAGCTCTCTTGTTTGTGTGTGAGAGTCCACTACTTTACGTCCATCGGATAAGTGAAGTATGTGTGTGTGTGCCTGAGCGTTGTGTACTTGTAATTGCTGCCATTAGCATTTGAGAGACAGAATGTGTGAGAGAAAAAGAGAGGCAGGTAGAGTAGGTCATTGATTATTCATTGTTAGCTCAAATGGATCGAGGTTGAATTATGAACCCAACTTGTTGTTAACACTTCATCCATCATCTTACAGAGCTTTTGTCAGTGAACTGTCCATAAACAAGCCTAATGATATTCGAGCTGAAGCAAGGCCATCAAGTAGTGCAGTCCGAAGATCTCAGCATGCTTCAAACAAAGTGTTTCTAGGATGGTCGAATAGCGCCTAACAATTTATGTAACTTTTTTGTTGTCTAATTAGACAGGTATGAGGAATGTTTTTCAAGCTCTCATCAAGTACTTCCAGCACTTTTTGCGTACATAATAATTGCCTTTGAGGAGCGAAAATATGCACAATTTCCCCATTAGCACGAGTCACTGTGCGTAGACTTCAAAGACGACAACAAGACACTAAATTCTTGGTGACAAATCCGGGAGGCAGTGGGAAGCAGCCAGGCCATCATCGACTGCCGTGTTGTACCATGTGGTTTGTTTCAAGCATACTGAGACCTTAACAATGCGAACACAGGAGGTTGAATTAACTAAATTGTGTTTTGTCACCCACCCTCGTTTTGGAGGTGGTCTGCCTAAGTGAAAACAAATGTGCTATTTCTGATCGTTAGACCCTTGCAAAAAATTTGGACATAACGCTTTAAACCATTTATGACATTGTTGGACTGATGGACTATGCTTTGAAGGAAGGGATAAATTATATTTTTAAGGTTATTTTTAATAATTACCATGACTGAAAGATGAGAGTCACATGTTCATATTATGTGTTCATAATTTAACTTTTCATAGTGCCAACAGATTCATTCAGAACTACCACCCTGCGGGTTGAATAGATTATTGTCAAATATTAACACATTTTGAAAGCATTAAGTAATTCAAAAAAATTAATAAAAAATAATTGCTGGTGTTGCAAAACAGTTACTCAAATAATATGACATCTGATCTTAGCCTGAATGTTTGAAAATTGCCATAGTAGAGTAACTAACCCAGGCTAACAAATGATCAATAATGCAGATTTTTGAAAAAGCAGCTGCTGAGCTGGACAAGAAAACCACCAAAATACAGTACATCCTTAGAGAAATTAAAATCAGCTTAATGTTGCATGGAGTGTGAAGTGAAGAACCAATCACATGTGTCGCAAACCTGCTACCAATTATACAAGTTAGTAGTGCAGTAAAAAAAGGTAACAGTGCATAAAGCACAGATATACACAAAGTTTTCCTTGTTCTGATCCAAATCTGCAGGCTAACAGTGTGGGTAGCACAGACGGATTTCATATGTACGAGGTGTATAATAATACTGTCTTGGAAATTTCTGTGGTGTGAGAGAGCATGTTTCTGTGAGTTCCGATTTTTCTTCAGCATGTAATAATCCACCAATACGAACACACATATAATGAAAAATAGCTCTACATAATTGCAGTAAATGTGAAAATAAAAATGAAAGGATATTTTTATCTGGCTGCGATAGAATTACTACAACTGTATTTAATCATAATCTGTCACAGTGGGGGATTATGATTAAATATAAATGCAACACCTGGAATCACATGAAACATAATTTCATCCCTGATTTCCTACAACACAACTCAACCTCCACGTTCACCCATTTATTGTCTTACTTTTAGAAGGCACACGCAGGTTGGACATGACAACCAACATAGAGTCTGCCTGGACCCGGAGGACGTAGGTGGTCACGTTTTCATAATCCAGAGGTTTAGCTGTGGAGATGACGCCTGTCCTGTTGTTCACCTGAAAATGACCTGGGACCAAACAAATTCAGAGCACATGGAAAATCATGAAAAGACAAACATTAAGACACAGGGAACAGAATAGATGGTGAGTTGCATAGTTATGCCCCCCTTTTTAACTACATACTGTTCTGATCAGAGATACAGGGCTTGGCTTTGTTTGCACTCTTGGCACTACACACCTCTAGGTCAATATTTAAATGCCACTCTGTAGGTATAACAATTGAATTCATTTATACTCCTTCCTAGGATCATTTATCTTTATGGCTAATTGGTCCTTAAGTGTAGATCTCAATAATGCCTTTTTAGCACCTTTCACACATTGAATCTGTAACAGTGTTGAGTTCAGTTATCCAGATGCCAAACATGTGCAGGGTTGGGTCAAATTACTTTGAACTGAAGTCAGTTACTGAATACAAATTACATGGCAGTTTTTGTAGTTAGCAACATAATCCATTTGATTACTCGGATTACTTCAAAATCAGATAAGAAGTGGGCGCAGCGACATAAATTGGGTTCCACAAATATTGTTTTTTGTCTTTGTTATCTCAAAACATTTTGAATGCAAATAAAATTCATGTTTCAGTTGGTCAAATCAGATAACGCCAAATGTGATTTATCTTTTTTCTATGTTGAAAGCCATTGTTGTTGTTGCCATCCACTAGCAATCCCATGATACCTTGGGTTGAGTTTATCGACCATTCAGAGGCTGTGTGGGCATGAGTGTAGCTGCTCTGATCTCAAACACATTGCTAAATGAAATATCTATAAAGTTATCATGAAAAAAAGTTTCAGAATTCCTATATATATATATATTTTTATGTAATCCTGATTACCTGTAATCACTTACTACCAAACACTGAGCATCTGCTATATAAAAATTAAAAATAACAAAAATAAGTGGCAGCACTTAAGAAAAAAGGGAAATCATACAAACCCTGCATGTATTATAGCAGAGGTTGCCTGAATGATGGATTTAAAAGCCTTTTAGCTGGTCAATGACTGATAGTTGGATCACTGACAAAGGAAATTTCACATCTGGCTGATTTCTCCGCTTTTGATGGCATGGAAAAAACTCCTCTGTGGCTATGTAAAAAGGTCATGCTTCAGAACACTTTAGCTATCCCTGAGAATATTACTGCTAGGAGCCTGGAGGTAGATTTATAGAACTCTTATTAGGACTTGAGCCTGCAATTTCCAGGAGCATCTAAGGAAAAGTGACTTTAGTTCCTGTTTCACACAGATCAGTGCAGGAGCACTTTGGGTACATAGTGAAAAGGGGTTACTTCCTTCTATACCCTTCTAGCTCACAGGTATGTCTCCTCTTTTAGGCTTTAACACCTGAGCTAACCTCACACTCGTCTTGAGTTCTCTCTCTCCAAGGGTGTAATTATGCTCTTCAGAAGTATAAGTGTGAAAAGCAGTCTGAAGCTGCAAGCATGTCAAAATTGGCTCCTTCTAGACAAAGACAAACAGTACCTATAGCTATTATGCGCAACCCACAGTTTTCAAAATAATGTGGAAGCTTTTCCAGGACTATTTTAACATCTGATTGCACACAATTTGATGTTAGTAAAAATACTTTTTTGCAGCTTTCTTTGCTGTGATGGAAATCTGGTTTGTGGACATCTGCAGTTGACAGAGAAAAGGCTTTGTAGAAGTTAACACTCTGGGACAGAAGTATCTTTGCTTTATGTAAAAAAAGCAAGTGCTTGGCAGAAGTGTTGGAATATGTTTTTTACTATGTATATGTTTTTTTTAAGTTAAAAACATTCATTGTATGCTTTACTGACTGTATGGTATATATACATGTAGTAAGTAAGTAGGTAAGTAAGTAAGTAAGTAAGTAAGTAAGTACAGCTTTATTTATATAGCACCTTTTTAACATAGAGATCCAACAGGGAGCATGTAAATACAAAGATAAGGAAGATAAAACAAGAGGGAAGGATAAATTAAAAGAGAGACAAGTACCTCGTTCATTTCCTGCAACAATGGAGTAGAAGATGGTTTGATTGACAGCAGCAGCTAGAATAGTCCCCACTGGTGTGCCAACTGGAGCCAACTCACTAACTGGAGGATACCTGGAAAGACAGAGCACAAATCATAAGGCAAACAGTATTAAGACTCAATGAAGCTGTCCACAATTGTGGCAGATATTCCAATATCAAAGGTACAGTATAGAAAGGGGTTAAGATGAATACAATCATAAAAGGTACAGTTTATCTATGTACATTATTAAGTTGGTTGATTTTAATGATTTAATTCTCACTTAATGCATGAACAATGAATAATAATGTATAAACATATAAATATAATATATATAAATAATAATTTATTACATTTCAATGAAACTGTTAAACCAGCCACCTATTGTTCCAATTATTTTGTTTCGCATGGTTTCTTTTGTCATTTCTTTCAGTAATACTGAACTGAACTGTTTATTTTAACTTCACTAAAGACAGAACATTATTTTCTCCTCCCTGGTAAATGAATGTGTACATTGTGCTCTAAGAGATAAATAAGCTACAACTGCTTAGCCCGATGCCAGATCTTCCCACATATCCAATAATAACTATAATAGTGGTGAGGATAAGAACACTTAAAAGACTGCCTATGGGTTAGGTGCATCAGCAGCAGTAACGCCGGCTTTGTATCTGAGTGTGGTGGTAAGGAGAGAGCTGAGCAAAGCTCTCATTTTTCTGCACAGCCTTTGCTTTGACTCTCAACTATGGCTATGAGCTTTGGGTAGTGACCGCAATAATGAGATTGAAGATTCAAGCAGCTGAGATGAGGTTTCTCTGCAGGCTGGCTGGTCTCTCTCTATGTGAAAATGCGAGGAGCTCAGGGATTCAGGAAAACCTCTGTATTGAGCTGCTGCTCCTTTGTGTTAAGGGTAATCAGCTGAGGTGTGTTTGAGCTCTTAGTAACTGCTTCCCTCTCGGTGGGTTTTCGGAAATGACCGCCTGGAAGGGGCAGACCCTGCATATTATGGAAGAATTAGATCTTTCAGCTTCACCAGGACAAGCTGGAGGAAGCTGCTGGGGGGAAGCATGTATGCCCTGCTCTGCTGGTCCTGTCGCTGCTTTAACCATGGACACCCTGCTCTCAAAGCAAAAGAGTTTTTTTGGTGGTGGGAGTGTGAATCCACAACTGTTTTTTTTTAAACAGTTTTATATTTATAAAATGTATATATTTTTTTAATTATTTGAATATCATGTTCTTTGAGTAAGTTTGAACAAAGACCTTTTCACCAAAATCTAACTGCCAGACAGACTCTTTTATTATCAGATAAAAAAAATAATATCAGAACAAAAGATTTGATGGAAAACACAGCATGAATTGTTCTGTGAACATATTTGAGTGTTTTTCCCTCGATAAGGGAGACTTTGTAACAGCTAATGACTATGCTTGACTATCAGGCATACAAGTGGGTAATCATATCCAGCAGATATGATTGTCACCACTCTACACAGAAATTACAGCTGCCATAAATAGCAGGGAACCCTGTCTTGGTGGTGTGTTGGTGAGGGCTGATTTAAGCTAATAATGTCATCTCACTGTGACACCATCTTGTGATACTGCTTTCTCGCTTCTTATCTCCGCTGAGGTGTGTATGTATGTGTTTCTGTATGCATGGTGGTAATGCCTTTTTTTTCAGTTTTCATACAAAATTTGACTATTATTCACAGCAGGGGGAAGAAATCTGTGACAGTCGTGGGAGTAATACTCACACCATAATCAGTCAGATTGTGTTATACAGTCAAAATCAGTGTTGAAGGGTATTTTTGGGATTAGACACTATCTTGGCAGTCAGAGTTATAAACATAGACCAGAGGCGATTAGGCACTTCCAGCCCAAGTTTATGATATAGCATTATTTAATGCTTTCATCTCTCTAGTCTTTGCTGACCCCTCAGTTCCAACACATTTTACACCATGAATAATGAAATCATCCAAAGAACAAAAAGGCTGTCAGCCTTCTGGGTTGATTGTTATTTTATAGAACAACTCCCCCTTACAGGATTGCAGTTGTGAGACGTTCCACAAGGAAGATTGAGACAATTTGCCATGGTGAAGATGAAGAGAGGGAATAACTTAATCCACACAGAAACAGAGAAGTCTATTTGCTGAGAGGATACATAGGTGTTGAGACAATAAATGACACTGTCTTCACTGCTCACTGGAGTAAAACAACACACTCAGTTACTTTTTAGACAGTTGGAAAGTATAAAAGTCATCACAGAGTATGTGTTCACCTCGCTCAAAGTTTTAGAGGCAAACAAAGGTGCGAAAACAGTATGTTCTTGAAGGACATTCAGTAAAAAAGATCTGTCTATCCATCCTGGAGGCTACAGTTACAATCTCTAGAGACAAACAATCCCCAAGGACATCTCGGGTTGGGAATAATTCTGGAAAATAGGACCCATTCTCCTGGGTAGAGGATAATATAGCTTGCCATCATGAAAAATAATATTGTTGAGTGTATGCTGCAATGAAATGACTGAACTGCATGAGCTCACAAAACCTTTCATGAAAAATACAGTGCTGTTATTGATAATACTAAATGACTCTCCTCTTTGTGTACTGTTGGGCTGTCACTGAATAATTGCTGTCTCTGTGACATCCAGGAGCATGAAGCCACACCATGCTCCACAGTGATGAGAACCAATTCATTAATGTGGCCTTCACATAAGCAGATTACCTGTTTGGCTCAGGAAAAGCCTGACAAAAACACAAATCAGTGTGAGCAGAGGGAGGTGCGGTACAGGCCAACATGAGACTCTAAAGCAGTCACATAAATGTGCCATTCACTGGAACCAAGGGTGACACAGTGGTTGTCATTAAATGTATGGGCCTTCACTTTTAATACACTTTTCAGCAATCTAATGTCTGTTCGAGTAATTAACTGCCCAGAAGTGGGGATGTCATTGATTAGACGACACTAACAACTCTATTGCTGCTGAGACTAATATATATTTTACACAAAAACCCTTTTTATGATACAGGTTATTGAGTACATATTCCACTGCTCAAAAGGGTTATCTATCAGGGTGGATAATGTGAACAACTGGGTATAATCCTATTCAATTTCTTTCCTCTATTCGGCCAACATATGAAAGGGTTATGCAAATTATTATCTTTGTCAAGGCTATTGTTACAATTGCCTGCTGTACCTAAAATGTGTCCACCATTTGATGCAAAAGCCAGTGAAGCTGAGGTGGAAGCAAGCACCAACCACCCCAGCTGATTTGTTTTAGGCTAAGAGACACTCCAATCAAGGCAAACATTTCCCCAAAATACTTATTTTTGAGAATTGCTGTGTTGTAACAGTCACTTTCAAAATCAGCACTAGACTACACATGAACTGTGACCTCAGCCACTGAAAACCAAAATGTATCTAGCAATAGCAGTGGGTCTTGTGCAAGAACATTTTCAGAATGTTATCCTAAACCTTGACTTGTTCTTGTGGGCAAATTTAAATCACAAAAATGTCAGTTCCTTCTGCTGGAAATCAGGGACATAACATAACATGTGTAGCGTATAGACTGGCATGAAGTTCGATGCCAACAAATGGCTTTCTATAGCAAAGTGGTCCATGATGGGAGGCAGTCAAGGGGGTGTGACAATCAAGGAGATAGATGACAGAAGGATTCTGAGGTAGCAACTGGAGTGTGATCATTTTTCTAGCAGGTTATGAACTTACAATTTGCGGCTGCAATGCCAAATTATATAAACTCACAAAATCCACAAAGAAAAACAAAAATGTTTGACACACTTCACCTGCATATGGTGAATAGAAGATTAAACTTGCATTATTCCATTATTATCATTCCAATTAGGTTGTTATAATACTTCAGTAAAACAAGTGTTTTCCCCTTGTGGAGAAAGGTAGACTGTAGGTGTGTGACTGGAATTACAGCTCTGGACCACTCGTACATTTTGGTCAGATTATGGATATGAGAAAATTCTCTTAAATCACATATACCCCTTAGGGATGAATCTGTTTGTACAAGTAGTTCTTGCATGACACCCAATGACTTTCTGCAGAGATTCTGGGCATTTTACAAAATAGTTCAAAGTGTTCAGCTTTGGTGGTTGCAGCTTTGGTGAAACTCTGGTCTGCAACAGGACTGGATAACCTGTGTTGACCCATTCATACATTTTCCTGAGGTTGTTCTTGAGTGTGAGTTGGGTATGAAAGTATGTGTGGAGCTAGCACTGGGCTGCATGGTGTGATTGCTAGGAAGAGGCAGAGCTGACATGTTATCACTTCCCTACAAAGTGGCTCTGCCTGAGGGTTGTAAGCTGTTGAGAAATGCCAAGGGGGGGTGTGAAGGTGTATGAAGTGTGCAGATTAGTATAAAGGTGTATCCACATGTAGACAGAAAGCATGCCAGAAAGGTTAGATACTGATTGATAGACAGATAGGAGGGCAGATAGAAATATGTATTGTATGCATGTAAAATAGTGGAATTAGGATCTAAACAGCTATTTGAATACAAAGACTAACAATTTTTGATAATTAAGTTGGGGGAGCTATGAGCTGGCTGATATACTGAGACTTGAAGATACCAGAGAAGGTAAATAAGTTGTGTATTCAACAGTCAAGTAGTAGGCAAATTCAAAGAGTCAATTACGCATAATGCAATACCATGTACTACTGAGCAGGACCAAAGCCACTTTTCACTCCTTTCATATTCAGATGAGGAAAAATCCCATCCAGAGAGACACAGAGTGCGAGAGAGAGAGATAGATAAAGAGAAGTGGAAGATGCTGACATGTCTACAGGCAGCAGCAGAGAGTCCCAGTGTCAACATGAGAGAGTGTGAATGGAACGCCACTGAGAGGCGCGGGCGGCACACAGGTGTCAGCGAGCACTCTGCCCCAGGGCCAATGGCGGAGTGATGCTTACGAGACAAGGCAGAGGCGTATACACTACGTCGTACGCCACAGGGGCCGCTGTTACCGTCGACTCTCTTTCTACCTCGCATTCCCTCTCTATTCATATATTGCATCACCGAGTGAACAAGCGGCGACGGACACGCCGGGAGATACAAGGAGTGACCTCGCTGCGTGCAAAA